AAAAACTAATAATAAAAAGAAAAGAGCTGGAGATGAAGTTCAGTGTGAAGGCCCTGGTTCAATGCCCAGTAATGACAAAAAAGAAAACCTGACCTCTGCTTAACTTTGATCTCTGTTCCTCGGCCTTACCCTCTCTCAACTCTCCATTTTATCTATACAGAATTTGTTCTTGGAAAGTACCACATTCTGTCTCCCTTTCATTCTTTCTCCTTGCCATTCTCTTGGGGTGGCATATATTTCTTTAGCCTAAGTTTCAGAAACGCCATGTTTCTCCCCAACTTCCCAAGCCAGGAGCAGATGTCCCTCCTGCGTCTGGATGGCCCTGTGCCTTTCATCCAAGCAGGCACCACTCCAAATTGTACATTGTTTCCTTGTCTGAATTCCCACCAGGTGCGGGCCCAACATTGTGCCACTCACCCCTGTATCCCTCTGGCTCAGTGAGTGCTCAGTAAATAAATGCTTGTCAAAACAATGAGGGAACTAATGAATGAAGAATAAAGTTTGGTTTTTCCTTTCAATATACTATGGGTATGGGAAAATGTTTCTTCATTAAAATTTTTTATTTAAGATAGTAATTGGGTTTTCTTCTACACCTAAACAATTACAATTGAGCCTGTTTCACTCCATTTAAGATAAACCTGAAAATCATTCACTAATTTGGTCTAATGCAAAAAACTCCAGCATGTTTAGATTCTAATGTATTACTATTGGTTTAAAAATAAAAACATCTAATGCTTTTTTGGTTGACTATTTTTAGAGATGCACTGATTTAATCTAGAAGCATTCCTTGACCCTTTATGACCAGAATGTGGTGTGGTGTACCAGGACAGAGGTTAGGGAAGGAAGATAACACACAGTCCTTGCTACCCAGGACCTTATCTAGGAGAGGAGACAAGAGTACCATCATGAAAAGTTAAGTAAGCACAAATACAGAGCATGTTAAGATACACTGCCTCATCTTGTACCTTAGTATTGTGCAGTCATGAGAAATAAAGCAAATATAATTTATCCCTAGTTATGGATGAGAGAGACTGGCTCAAAGGTGACATTGTTTGCCAACTGACACATAGACAGAAGTTGAGCCTAGGTATGTCCAGTCCAAGCCAAGATTGTGCCCTGTTGGACAATGCCATGTCTCGTGTAGATGTCCAATGATGCTTAAGAGCCAAGTGAAAAGCCAGGCTGAAAGATGCTGTTAGTCCATGGGAAGAGGCAGCACCCAGGAGAATCCTCCCCATCAAAGCCCAGAGGGAAGCACAGGGCACAGTGGGACACAGTTTGTTGTCCCATTTCCTGATGAATGAACCATTCCACATTCAGGCATTTTCCTAGAAGAGATCACATCTCTTCTCTTGTTGGAAAAGAGAAGACTATTTTAAAAAGTTTTCCACCTTACTATGCAAACTAAAAAATTTGAAATTATGATAGTTTACCAAGGCATGGGAGTTTAGGCTTTTTCTCCAACTTTTTTGCTTTACATCAAGTCAAAGAAATCTAGATTCACATTAAGAAGAGTAAATTAGTATTAGGGGGACCATTAGTTTGTTTACCCAGCATAAAATTATATCCTCTGTAAACGGGAATATCAAATAACATAAAAAGCCTGGGTGATTTACATTTTCTTTTTGATTAGAGGATTGAATCCACTGTACTCAAGGAAGGAAAATCTCTCCCATTTAGCTTTTGAAGATCAAAGAGGCCATTAAATATGCCATATTATCAGTATTTCTTTCCTTTTTTGGTTAAGACTAGGGGGTGCTTTGCAAATTGAGATTGCCATGGGGGAAAGAAGGACTTTATTTGGGGTCATCTACATGGATTGTGGACTAGTTCACTTTCCTGAGGCAGACCCATATGCTTACATTTTATTCAAACAGGGATATCCTGCAGTGTCAAGTGCATGCTGATCTGTTTACTGAATTTTCTGTGCATAAATCTAATGACCAAAGGATTGTGAACCTTTAGTGAGCCACAGTCTCATTCTAAGCCTGGATATCTTTCCGTAGAATATTTGCTAAAATCTGCAAAGACAAAAATGTTGTTTTATTTATTTATTTATTTTTTGGTACCTGGGATCGAACTCAGGTCCTTGTGCATGCGAAGCAGGTGGCGAAACCACTGAGCTAAATCCCCCGCCCTGCAAAGACAAAAATGAAGTGCAAAGCAAAATTACTTAAAAAAAAAAAAGGATGAACTTGTATAAGTATTCAGTTGCAATAAAATTGGCTTTCCTCCCAAAAGGAACAGGCTGAGGCGAATGTTGTCTAAGCAACAAATCCATATTTCCCTTCCTAGATAAGTAGCCAAATGTGCACGGTACCAACTAAAGTGTGAATTACAATTTTATCTTTACCAGATGAAATACTGAATTATGGTTTGTGGCATAACTAATAGCATTCTTTGAACCTCTGTGATTCATTGATTTAATGTGGTAGACATTTGTTTTTGTTTGCTAGCATTTACAATGTAACTCTCTTCCATTTTTATTTCGTATTTTGATCAACTTAGATAATTAAGATCTTGTTGTCTTTGTGTATAGTGTGTGGGACTAATATGAGCCTCAGATACATCTTTAACATAGATGGTAAAAGAGAAATGAAATTATAGTGAGATTGATTTTGAGTAAAATGACCAAATGAATGCAATGAGTGAATTTATTTTGATTAAGGACTTGCCATTTCATTTCTGCTTTGGGCAGCCAACAGCTTATAAAAGACAAATATTCAGACCTCCGATATGATCCGAACTGGAAAAATAAGAAAGAGGAAGTGCAGTTGTTGGTTGTGGAAACCTTGCCAGAGTCTGCAGACAGCTCTTCAGAAAATCTGCCCTTGGTGCCGCTCTACCCTTCCAAGGAGACTTCAATGGAGCTCTCAGAGGGAAAAGACAAACAGAAAAAGAGTCCTCAGAGTGCAACCTCCTTACTCGGAAGTGAATTTTTAAGCCCAGACTATGAGCCTGGCTCCCAAGACATCGACCTATTTTCAGAGCCAAGTGACAGTGACCAGGAGGAGAAATCAAGCAACCTCTCTAAGTACCTGAAGAGTTCAAGTTCACATAATGAAGTATTCCTCCCAGGATCACGTGGCCCTCGAAGAAGGAAGTCTAAGCAATATTTTGTGGAAAAAAATAAACTTACATTGGGATTACCCACTCCTAAAACAGACTCTTATCTTCAACTTCACAATAAAAAAAGGGGAGAAACTCATCTAGAACAGGTACGTAGTGGCTGCTTAAAAATCTCTTCCTAAACACTAAACTAGAATTTGTGTTTATTTGAAATGGCTCGATATCCTTTCTTTGGGGATGATAATGTTATTTTAACCACTCATCTGGGTAAAACAAGCACTTCCATACTACATTCTGTTGCCCTTTTTTGAAGGGGAATTATCCCACAAATTCTTAAGAGCAAAATAAAAGCCATTAATGGTTTATAGTACTGTAATTGCTATAATTCAATTATATCCAAATACCTCCCATTTAAGGAATTGTAGAATTTTTTAAAACTATGTGTTCCAGTAGATTAAAAAAATAAGATGTGTATTTGATTCTTGTGTTGATTGCCTTGGTTTCCATTATAGCATCGAGTGTCAACCCCATCAAATGTCCTAACACATTGGAAGTAACATTACATGTTCGTATCTAAAATTGCAGCTCATATACAGAGTTAATTCTCAACTCAGTCTGTGCACATGTTGGGTCACTTAAGAAGGGGGACAGGGAAATATATAAAGCATTTTTCTTTTTGTTTGTTTGGTTCTTTTTGGTACCGGGGATCAAACTTGGGACCTTGTGCTTTCAAGGCAGGTGGCAGAACCACTGAGCTAAATCTGTGGCCCCAAGCATTTTTCTTTTTAACTCTTCAGATGACTCTTTATCTTCCTACTCTCTACTGATAATCAACATATCATCCTTTATTGCCCCATGTAATGACATAATTGAACGTTAGTCTTTCCATCTAGTAAACCAGAAAACTAATAAATGCCATTTTTTTCTTATATGATCATTTTGAAGGTAAGTTCTATTCCAAATGATGTATTCAAAACCTGCTGAAGTAAGTAAGTAAGTAGACCTAGTTCTGTTTCACAGGCACACACAAAGGTCCTATCAGCCTACCCCCTAGTGGATGTATCATGGAAACAAAAAAAGTATGTGGCTAGATCATATAATTGACCACCCTTATTAAAAAAACAGCTTGAAAATTCACCACCTATTCATTTTCAGATATGGAAAGGGTACTGTGGTAAATGTGGATGCACTTAGATCTGCTCCATATCTCAATTGGTATTATTTAAAGTGCTTTAACCTATTCTAACCTCAGAGTATTTTCTGATGGAACAGAATAGATGAGATGGATTAACATTTGTGATTTTTCTGAATATACCCCTTTTTTTCAGTACTTAGGACTGAACCCAGAGCCTTTGTACTGAGCTACATTCCCAGTGCTATTAATTTATTTTTGAGGCAGTGTTTCACTAAATCACTAAGTTGTCCAGGCTGGGCTCAAATTTGTGGTCCTCCTGCTGGGATTGAATGTGCACTCCTCCAGATGGATGGAGTTCTGGAATTATAGGCATGAATCCATTTTGTACTCTTAAAGGACTACAGTTTTGGCCTTTGTAGCTGATAATAATACGAAGGAATGTGTGCAGTATATTTAGCTGAATTATCAAAACATTGCTAAATTTAAGCATTTTACAACATTTTAAACCCAATTTTAGTTGTTATATATTTTTTTGGTTTCATACACATGAGAAATTTGAATTTTGCTTGATTATTCATTTAAATATAAATTCAACAGTCCAGTATCTGTGAAAAATTCTATAACTAATAATTTGTCCCAGACTAGGACAATTATTTTTCATTAAAGTGTCCCTGGAAGAAGCTGATCTAGATGGAAGGGCAGATAGTCCAAGAGTTATATTTCCAATAATAAAAGGGAAAAAAGATATATTATAAACTGTTCTATTGTTGATTTCTAAATTGCTAATTTTGTTAGTAGTTGTAAGTTAATTTAACAGACATGATTGGGGTAAAGTGACTGCCAGTGATTTCATGACCTAATTGTCTCTTTACTATGCCCCAGAAGGAACTTTTTATCATTTCAGATTTGTTTGTTCAGTGTTTAAATTCTTGGATTACTATTTGAAGGAAACATTGACCTTTCCAATACTTTCTCCAAGTTCAAATGCTGATTGATAATTGCATTCAAAATTGTTTTTTCAACATATATTTCTTTCTTTTTACTCTAGAAAAGAATAGAAAGAATGGTGTAAGGATCTTGGATCTATTTAAAAGATAGTTTTGAGTGTAAGCTAAAAGTCATGAGGGCCAGGGATGTAGCTCAGTGGTGATGTGCTAGCCTGGCAAGTGCAAGGTTGTGAGTTTGATCCTCGGTGGAAAAAAAATTCATGATTTTATTCAAATATATAAAATTAGGGGGTAGGGGAAGGAAAAAAATTAAGATGTGTTATATATATATGTGCTAACTCCTCATAAAAATGTAATCATTATGTACTGAAAACATACACCAATAAATATATATATATAAAAAGAATAGAAAGGAGTTTGACCTAATAGTGATATAATGATAGGTACAACTTGTTTTAATGAATTATAGTTAGTAGCACAAAATGTGTGTTCCTTTTGAATCATTATTTATATATAAATGTGTCCAGGCCTCTTTCCTGATATAAATTATATGTTCTCTCTGGGCAGGAAATGTGGTTTGTACTTAGTTTTTAATCTTCATAGAAACTAGCCTAATACACTGCAAGGGCTGAGTAAATAGATGGGAAATGAAAATTTATTTCTTCCACCGCCCTCAAACTATATTCTCTTTAAATGACTTGTGGGGAAAATGGCATTTTTGGAACAGTGGTTTGGAATAGTAAGTGGATATTAGAATCAGCTGAGAAGCTCATGTAGAAAGTAACCCTTGGCTGTACCCAGATCAATATAAATCTCTAGGTGAGATCCTCAACATCAGTTTTTTTTTAAAGCTCCACATGTAATTCTACTGTGAAGCCAGGTTTCAGAACCATTGTTCCAGACTAGAGCAGTGGTTTTCAGCCTTGTCTTGACTTAGGGAATCACTAGAGGACTATACTGATTCCTTGGCTAAAGCACTGAAATTCTGATTTAATTCATCTAAGCATGAGTATTTGCCAACAGTCCCTACATAATTCTAATATTTAGCCAAGATTGAGAACACTGATCTAGATCATTGGCTCCCAAACATTAGTATGCATCAGATTCATCTGGAAGGCTTATTAAAACATATTGCTGCTGTAGCACAGGAGGATAACTGAGGTGGACAACAATTGAATAGATCAAAATAGCTAGTAGAGAAGATTTTAAATTTTCCTGCTGTAGTTTGGATATGAACTGTCCCTCAGAGTTCCATGTGTTAAAGGCTGATTCCCTAGGTTGACACTATTGGAAGGTCATGAAAACTTTTAAGAGGTGGGGGCCAGTGAGGAGTGTTCTGGTCATATTTTTTTTCTGGGTTTTTATTTCCTGCCTCTTCCTCTTTTTCTCCTTTGCTTCCCAGCTGCCATGAGGTGAGCAGCTTCATTCCACCATGTGCCCCCTGCCATGATGTGCTGCTTACCACAGGCCCAAAAGCAACAGGGCCTATCAGTCATGAACTGAAACTTCCACAACTGTAATCCAGCATAAATTCATCTGCTCTATAAATTGATTATGTCGGGTATTTTGTGATAGTAAAAGAAAGTTGATTAACACAGTTCCCATCACAAAGCAATGATAAATAATTTGAGATGTGCCAGTTACTCTGATCCTATCATTATACTTTTATGGAAATGTCATACTGTATCCCATATGTATGTACAACTACTACATGCCAATTAAAATTTTTAAATGTATTTAATAAAAAGATGATTGAGGCTGGGGATTTAGCTCAGTGGTGCCACTGCCTGCCTCGCAAGCGCAAGGTCCCGAGTTTGATCCCCGGTACCAAATAAATAAAAAGTTAATGAGAGTCTTTAAAAAGAAAGATTATTGGACCCAGCCTCCCAAATTTCTTATTCAGAAGGTATAGAAAGTAGTGGTGAACCTATGGCAGATGTGCTGCAGGGGGCTGTTTGCTATCATTAAAAGCTTTAAAAGGTTCGCCATCATTGCTATAGGATGAAGCCCAAGGATTTGAATTTTCTACATGATTCCAAAGTAGTTCTGCTGCTGTTGGGCCCACACTTTGAGAACCACTAATCCTTTACTGGGAAAACTGGAAAATGCTTGTGAACCACCTCCAATCTTTTTTTTTTTTGGTACTGGGGATCGAACTCAGGACCTTGCATTTGGGAGGCAGGCGCTAGAACCACTAAATCCCCGGCCCTCCAATCTTTTTAAAAATTCAGATGGTGACCCAGGAGGTCTGGAATGAGAACCAAAGTGTGCATTTCTAAGGCTGCTCATCCATGGACTGTGCTGTGACTGGCAAGGGGCTGGAATAAAGAACGTGGAGATTTTTACCAGAAATCTAAAAGTTAGAGTGGTATAAGTCGATGCTCACAGAGCACTGATATTTTCACTGGCGGATATGCTTGTCCAGTTAAGTTTTGGTAGGAGGTGAAATGGCAGAGTTGGCATGTTTGAAGGCTGAAGTATTTTTTTTGAGTATTTTCTCCTTGTAATTTATTTGAAAGAGGTAACAAACCAGGGATCGAACTCAGGACCTTGTGCTTGCGAGGCAGCCGCAGTGCCACTGAGCTAAATCCCTCGCCCCCCTTTAATATTTCTTAATAGTAAATTCACTCAAGTTGTTCATAAAAGTTCATGGAGAGTGTCCTCATTAAAAAAAAAACAGATGTAGTATACTCTAACTGCATGGTTGTACTATAACTTAACTACTCCCCAAGTGACAGATGTGAGTGGCTTCCAATCTTGCTGTTACAAATAAGACTAAAATGGGGCTGGAGATTTAGCTCAGTGGTGCTGCACCTGCCTCACAAGTGCAAGGACCTGAGTTTGATATCCAGTACCAAAAAAGGAACAGTGTGTAGAGTATTTTAAAAGTGGAAAGAATAAAAACATATCTTATTTGCTTGCTATGCTAAAAACTCTTAGATAGTTAATTGTGAGGGGTGAGGAGAATGTGCAGGAGCAGCTTTTCAGTCTAACTTTTCATATCTTATTTTTTAACCATCCCTATATACTAACTTCTTAAAAATTAAATTGAAAATGGCAATAAAAT